GGAGGAAGCAGCAATCTGAAGGAAAGCCCCAAGGAGCAGAGGGAGGAGAGCGGAGGAGGACGGCTGCAGCGGCAGAGCCCAGAGCCCCAGGAAGGGCCCTCTCTACGTCACTGTCCTTGAGCCTCCCCAATGTCAGTGCCCAGCCAGCCAGGCCTGCGCGCCCTCCTCTGCAGCCGTAGGTGCGGGCAGCTCGATGGCGGCCACCAGCCGGCCAGGCCCCAGGTGTGCCACTCACAGGGGCAGCTGCTGACCTCCCCTCTGCCAACCTGCCAGCCCTGTCAGTGGGCTCAACCAGGGCCACCTGGGTCACACTGCAACACGATCCGCTGCCCATGGGACGTACGGTGCAGCCTCTCTACTCCAGAGGGAGGGTCGAGGCCCTGTGCGGAAAGGGCGGCCATCAAGGTCACACAGCAAGTGCACGTGGAGCCAGATGCAGGGGCTTGAGGCTGTTCCCCGGGGCTGGGAGAACAAGACATAGAGGCTGACAGTGGTTGCCAGGAAGTCAGGCCCTCGCCGTCCAGAGCCCTGGGGGAGAGTCCTGGGGTCGTGAGGCAGCTGACGCTATGGAGGGCAGGAAGCAGCTTGCCACTGGGCCCCATAGCAGCCCATAAAGCAGACATCACTGGGGCCCACGGTGGGAAGAACAGGGACACAGAGGGGTGAGCGAGGGCCACGTCTTCAGTGCTGGCCACTGCCCCAAGGGCCCCTCCAGCATGCGTCAGCTGAGGGTGCTGAGGCCCTTGAGCCCCCAGGATCCCAGCTCAGCTCTGGCAGGCTGAGTCCCAAGTGCCAAGGCCTGTGCCCTGTGCCATGGGGCTTCCTGGTGGCCCCAGGGACGGGACCAGTGTCCTCGACTCAAGCCAGCTCCATCTGAGGGCACTACAGTCTGGGTTCCAGACACACTGTGTGATGCTGGGCAGCTCGTTTGCCCTCCTTGGCCTTGGGGCTCCCACCTGAAGCACCCCGGGGTCAGACCTGTAATAATGACAGCTGATGCCGTGACAGAGATCGACCCATGATATTTCCCAAGGGACCGAGACGGTGCTACGTCTCTACTTCCCGGGTGGGAGAGGAGGTCCTGCACATCTGGCTGCCCAAGGTCACACAGGAAATCAGCACACAGGGATCTGGGACTCGAACCCCAGTACTTGGGCTCAGAGCCCGTGCTCTGGCTACCACTCTTCATTACTCTCGAGGTACTGCGGGCACCGAGCCGTCGCATTTCCATGTGGGAGGTACACAGGGGCCTGGGCCTGCTCAAGGAGACGGGGCTGCTCCCGCCCGGGTCCCCACGTGTCCTCACAGTGTCATCTGGCACAGCCTTGTGGATCACCCACGGCCACAAGCGTTCCAGCGCCCAGGACGCCCAGCCCCAACAGCCCCCTCTCGAGGATCCGTACATCTGCGGGGACCATGTGCGCTGCCCGGTGGCACAGAGCCACGTGCGGTGACGCGGCTGCCACACCCTGCTCCTCAGAGTCCCTCTGGTGTCTGCTGGCTGGCACAGCCGGCACACACCTGCTGGCACCGTCCCACTGCCTTCCCCACGCCTCCCCTCTCACAGAAGCAGGCGCCTTCTCCAGGAAGGAAGCAGGCTCAGGCCCAGCCTGGCTCCCACGGTCCAGAGATGCCAGCCAAGCTGGGGGTGGCAAGGGAGAGGGGCACCAAGCGGAGACCCTGGTGCCTGGGGTCTGAACTCCTAGCGAAGACCAAGCCCCAGCAAGGCCCGAGTGTCCCTGAGCCCCTGGGAACGCCAACCCCGGCTTCGTCCTTGCCAGATGTGGGGCTGTCGGGGGACCTGGGAACAAGGGCCTGCCCCTCGCTCCTGAGCGGGGACTCTGCCGCCATGGCTGAGCTTCCACGGCACTCCCCTGGTCCCTGCTCTCTCCTCCCCCTGCCCGGCATCACAGAGTTCTGGGTATTTTTAGGCCTCAGCTGACAGGCTGTGAAATCGCTCCTTTCGCACCTCCCCAGCCAGGCGGGGGCTGGAGAGGAGGGAGGTTGGGGGGGCATGGAGACAATTCATCAGCTCCCTGGGGCTGGCAGGTGCCAAGCGGGCAGCAAGGGGCGCTCCCCTTCTCCCCAGAATGGCCCTGGAAGAGACTCCTTTACCTGCCCGGAGAAGAGGGTGGAAGTGGCAGAGGAGCCTGGACTCGCCGGGGACCCGAGAACGAGCCTGGGGACAGGAGTCCAGCACCGCCGCCAGCCGATGCCCAGCGCCGCCTGGAGAGACAGCCTGAGAGACAGGCTGGCGAGCGTCCTAGTAGGCTACGGGAGGCGCCGGGCAGCGTGGCCCGGTGGTTAGGACCTGGCCTGGTTCACTCCTTACCTCTGCTCTGCAGCCTGACCCAGCCCAGCCCCTGCAGGACCCGCGGCCTCTGTTTCCTCATGTGTTTCCCTTGCAGGACAGATGCTGGGATGAAACGGAGCGATCTGTGCAGAGCACAAGGTGGTCTCCGGGCCTGGAGGCTCCGCGTGGTCCCCCGGCTGCTCCTGGCCACCCTCCTCCCGGGCTAGCTTCCTCCCCACAGTCCCCAACAGAGGCCCACCTGGCAGAGGGGCACACCCACTCCGGGGGGCAGGCACTGCGGCCCCTCCCTGCTTCCTGCAGCAGGCCGAACACACCACGAGTGCACAGACCCAGATGCCAACAGGCGTGCCCCCAGAGCCTCGTGTGAGGGCTTTTGCCCTGGGATGAACCCCCAGGGAAGTGGGAAAATGTACCCAGGCCCTGCTGGGAATGGGCCCCTGTGCCAGGGGCTGTGGGCACGGGGAGGAGGTGGCCGCCTCATGGCCGTGAGACAGGTTGGCTCTGGTGGGGCCCTGGAGCTCAGGCCTGGCAGCTGGCATGAGAGGCCCAGCCTGGATGCCCACTGTGATGGTGGGTACAGAAGCAGCCTTTGGAGCACTAACTCTGGAGCACCCTGGGCCCACAGCCCTCTCGGATGGGCCTGTCGGATGCCTGGGGCGCCTGACCACCCATCACTCCCCACAGGCTCACCCCACAGTGCTGCAGGCCTCCTGAGGGGCATGAGGGGACAGCCTCTGTGTAGGTGGACACTGCAGAGGGTGGGCAGAGGCAGGCCACCCTCCCACCCTCCATCTGCTCCGCCCTGCCACGATCTCTGTCGGGACCTTCCCAAAGTCTCCATCGTTTTAATTTAAAAATCAGGGTTCACATTTTCCACCGTCACCCAGTCATGGCACAGCCAGCTCTCATGCCTAGCGCAGACCCCAGCCTGGGCCCAAGCCCTGCCCTTGGGCCAGCAGCACGGTTCCCACCTCCTGGTGTCCCGAGGCTGCGGCTCATGCCCCTTGCACCTGGTGCCGGTGGGCGTGTGACACCTCTGCCGTCCTGGTGGTGGCTCCCGATGCTGCCTCAGGGAAGTGGCGGCTGCACCCTCCTGGGGGGGGGGCTCCGGGACGCCCCACCCGTGCCAGTCACTGCACATAGGAGGACACTGGTGCCCCACTCACTGTGTGCCAGGCCCCTGCTGGGCACCCTCCAGTCATGAACAGAGGGGGAAACTGAGGCCATCACAGGGCCCTCTGCCAGTTCTCACAACAGCAGGCCCAGGCCAGGGCCCCGATGAAAGCCAGCCAGGGCGGCAGCAGGGAAGCTGGCTCTTACTAAGGGACGAACGGGGTGACCCAAGAGGGCATCCCTTAGCCTGGACCCCTGCAAAGCACAGCCCCTTTCCTGGAGGAAGAAGATGGGAGCTTAGGGCAGCCCAGCGATGGCTGGGGACAGTAGGGGTGGGCAGGGGCCCTGGTGTCGGCCCCGCAGGGATGCGCAGGGTGTGCAGCAAGCAGAGGCTGTGTGTGCCACAACAGTGCTCCTCGCGCTGGCCGCAGCTCTGTCCCCGCTGCCACCACCCGTGGTAATGAGACGGATCCAATTTGTACCCAGAGCCCCGCCGGGAGAGCCGCCTCGGCAGGGCTTGAGGTAATTTAATTGGACACATTAGCCACACAGCTCTCCTGCGCGCCCGCCTCGTGCAGAGTCGCACGCAGGCTCCCCTCTCACGACACGGGCTGGCTGGGGGCAGGGTGCCCTGCCCATCGCAGGACCCATCCGGTGCACCCCTCCTCTCCTTCCTGGGGCTCAGTGGCTCCACAGCAGGCTCTGCTTTCTCTGATGCAGGCAGCAACTGCAGGAGCCCACAGAGGGCAGGTCGGATGGCCAGAACGGGGTCACCCCCTTTCCTCCCTCAGGGACCCCAGCCTCCTGCACTCCAGCGAGGGTCCGCCCCAAAGGAGCAGGCCCAGCAGCACCTGCCCATGCCAGCACCATCAAGGTCTTGTCACTGTTGGGGTCACTATAAAGGCAGCGCAGTCCTCCTTGGAGAGCTCCGGGGAAGAGGGTACACACACGCACACGCACACGCACACGCACACACACACGCACATGCACGCACTAAGGCACGCACGTACAGCCTCCACCCAGCCAGCCACACACGCACAGTCACAGCAACGCTTGTATCTGCACACGCAAAGCTCCCACGAGCCTCCCACGCCCACACCCATGCAGGCTCACAGCCAGGTGAGGCCCTGCTCCTGCAGATGGAGGCCCCAGAGGGGGCCAGGCTGGCAGGTGGGAGGGCGTGGCAGAGGGCAGGCTGGGTCCCTAGAGGACACAGGCCCTGCCAGGCTGGGGACAAAGGTGGAGAGGGGAGGGCAACCTCCCCAATGCCTTCTGTCACAGCTCCCTGCGCACCTGGGCGCGCTCGCTACAAATGCGCTCATTAGCTGTGTTTACAGCGGTGGGCACGCAGAGGAGCAAGGCGATTGCCTCGGCCAGTGCCGCCTGGCACAGCACACGCAGACACGCACACTCACAGCCCCCCCGCCCTGCCCGCCCTGCCACCACACGGGCACTCACACGAACGCACCCACCCCCAACCTCCAAGGCGGCTCTTCCCAGCCCACAGCCGGCGCCTCTCCTGGGGCCTCCCAGTGGGGTCTGCAGAGCCCCAGCACCTCGATGCCCAGCCCACCTTCCCAGGACCGGTCGAGACTCCAGGCGCAGGCTCTGGGCACCATCCAGCCCCTTCCACAGGTCCCTGCTGTCTGCCGACGCTGTTCCAGCCCGCAGGGACCTTGCTGGGTGAGACCAAAGCCCTGCCCTCCAGACAAAAACTGGACAGAGCCCAGCAGGGCCGCCCCACTGCCTGGAAGGTCAGGGACCTCGGTGTCCACAGAACTGGCACAATTCTCTTGGCACCACTGGCTGGGGTTCCCTGGCAAGGCAGGAGGGCACCTACGCTGGGCCTGGCACAGTTTTGCTCCGGCACCTGGCCAGACCAGTGACCGCCTGACAGAGAATGCTGACCTCTCAGGCCATGCGCACCATACAGCCCAGACTCTGGGCACTGCCCTGGAGCACAGCGGGCTCCAGCAGGCTGCCCATGTCACCTGGGACCCTCAGGGCCTGGCACTGGGTCCTTGTATCAGCTCCTCCCTGCTGAGCTTGGCCTCCTTCCCTGGGGGAAGCGGTTATTGAAAATTGTCCATCACATCCAATATGGACTTGAAGTCCAGAGAATATGGGCTGAGTGAAGTGGGAGTAGGGGGATGGGACCTCTCTGCTTGGCGTGCTTGCGATGGCAGGCTGCACTGGACAGAGCCAGTCCCCCGGGGCCAGGCCTGCCAAAGCTGGGCCGGGCTCACCTGACGGGCACCTGTTATTCTGCGGCCCAGCTGTCCCTCACCTGTCGCCAGCTGGCCTGCATCCAGCCTGCTCCAGCCCCTCCCACAGCGAGGAGCACCTGGGGCCATCCCCTCTCCTGTCCTCCTCTCAGAGCACTTGGCCCATGGGTCCAGCTGTCCCCAGGAGGCCACAGAACACAGGTACCAGGGCCACGGAGGGTCTGTTTCCACAGCAACTCTATAGTCTGGGGTGCTGGCACCTCTAGCCCATGTTAGACCTGCTCAGCTCCAGGTCCCCCTGCAGCCAGCCGTACCTGCAGGGAGCCCAGGTGACCTTCAGTCCCCGGCTGCACCAAGCCAGGATGCAGAGCAGGGACGGCCTTGGGCAGCAAGGGCAGTAGAGCCACCGTCAGTGCAGTGGCCCAGTCTGACTCTGGGAGCCCATGCTGCACCCCAGCCGCCCTTTCAGCCACACCCCGCCGTCAGCCTCTGCCATGGCAGTGCCTCGCAAGTGGAGACCGCTGGGCCAGGCTCCTGCCCCACCAGCATTTGGCATCTGTCCCCTTCCCAGGACCATCACAGGGCACAGCCATTTAACAGGTGGCTCTGGCTAAAGCTTAGAGCCCTGCTGACCCCAGAGACAAGCTCACAGAGGGCAGGGGGCTGGGTGGGCAGCCCTAGGGACCCACCCTCCCAGCAGTCCCCTGGGCCCCCACCACCGCCCCCTCACTAGCCTGGCTCAGAGCTCACAGCCAGGTCACCACCCCCGCCCCCGTTCCTCCTTCTCTTTCCTGAAGCCGTCCTGTCTGCCCACTGCAACGCTGACCCCTGCAGGCCTGTGAGGTCCTGCCCAGCTTGGGGACAGGCTTGGGGACAGGCCATCCAAGGGACAGAGGGGGCCGGCCAGAGTGGACTCAGAACGCAACGCACCGAGGATGGAGTGCAGGGGAGGGCGGGCTGTGGGGGCTGCAGGTGCCGCTGGGGAGGCTGGAGCAGGAGCCTGTGTTGTGCAGCGGGGGACAGGTCCGCATCCCGTCCTTGCACAGTCCCTTTCATCATGAATGAGGAGAGGAGCAGAGGAGGAGGAGGTGTGCCTGGGGACAGGGCCCGGCAGGCAGGGAGCAGCACCTGTCGGGGAAGGTACCTGCAGAGGGAGGGGGCCACAGGGCCTCTGGACCCGCTGGGCTCAGGAGGGCACAGGGCACAGGAGCTTTCTGAAAACAGGAGTGGGCCGCAGGTGTTCCTGGGAGGGCCGAGGCAATGGGGCCATAAGGGCTTCTGGCCCCGGGGGACCAGAGGACAGAGGGGGGACGCCTGAGTCACAGAAGATGCTTCGCATATTCACTCCCACCTGGTGCCTGGTGCAGGGGACTGGGAGTGGGCAGATGTTGGGGGCCAGAACCCTGGCTGGAGGCAGTGCCTGAGGTCCTGGGGGGAGTGTGTGAACAGGAGGGTGGGGATCACTGCAGGTGGACAGAGATGCCAGGTCCCTGGGGTCATGCTGAGGTCTCTGGCCTCGGAGACCCCAGAGCACGCATCCAGACTGGCCGCGGCCTCTCTAGCCTCCGCTGACCCCACCTAGCCCAGCGCCCCTGCCAGAGGCTGGGGAACCTCAGAGCTGCCCCTGCTCACCATAGGCACAGGGGACGCAACAGACCCCAACCCCAGGCAGGGAGGGCCATTCAGGGAGGGGGACAGAAAGGTCCAGGGCCAGCCCACCAGGGGCAGCTCTGGAGTCCAGGCCCTTTGCCCAGAAGATGCCAAGCATGTCAAGTTGGCCTCCATGGAGAGGGCCGAGGAGCTTGAGGAGCGGTGATGTCATGGGGCCCAGGCGTGGGAGGGACAGGGAGGGGGACAGGGGACAAAGGCATGGCCCCAAGCCCCAAGGCCTAATGGAGCCAGAGGGAGGCTGCCGCCTGGCAGGGCAGGGAGGGGTATGTCCTCACCGCGTCCCCTTCCTTCCATCCCGCACCCCTGAGCTGGGCTCTGGCCTGACCGGGGGCATGGGGTGGGTGCGCCAGCACCAGACGGTGCTGCCCTTGGTCCAGACTCTGGATGCTGGCACTCTCCAGAGATGCCAGAGAGGTGCCTGGGTGCAGACAGAGCTGGGCAGGGCTCCCCAGGCAGTGCCCCTCAGCCCTCGCCTAGAGGACACTCATGGAAGGGCACGAGGCTACCCAGAACCTGGGGCTCTCACCCTCCTGCCCAGTGCTGAGTGGGCACCATGGTGTGCCCAGTGGGTCGTTCTCGGATGCCTGGCACTGAGATGGACTGACGGGGTGAGCACCTGCCTTCTGCAGAGAGGAGCGGCTGGCCCTGAGGGGAAAGGGCAGATCCGCGGAGCCGGTGCCTGCTGGCCTGCCCTGCTCTCAAGCCCTCCTCCCCTGGCCCTTGTGCCCTGGGGTGGCGGCCAGGAGCCCAGAGACTCCTCTGGGAGCGGTGCTGGTGTAGTGTCTGCTGCCGCACCAGGACCAACCCAGAGGCACAGCCCCGTGCCAGCGCCTGCGGCCGGGTGGGGTCTGGGGAGCAGCCCAGGTGGGCTGGGCAGGCGCCAGGCGCCGCAGGGGACCTGCCTACAGGTGGGCTCGGGCGAAGAGGCGGCAGGCGGAGGAGAGGGCAGGGCGATTTCCGAGGGAGGAGAGGCTGGGGCTGAGGCTTGGAGGATGCCAGGCAGACCGTGAGCTCCGGCCACTCCCTGGGAGGACACACCAAGGGGTGCGCCCTCCCCGAGGACGGGAGCGAGTTGAGGCCGCCCGTGCCTGCCCAGGACCGGCGGGGCGCCCTGCACGGCGCCCCCGCTCCGCGGCGCCCA